AAATCTGGAAAATATCTACTAATAACGTTTTTTAGTTATTTTAAGAGAATAAAAACTACCCAATAAACATTCGGCTTGGTTAACAATTCGAAAACCAATATTTTTTTCGAGTCTCACCTTCGATAACGAATGTGAAATAGGTTAGTAATCGCTTCTAGAACTAGGCCATTCTCCAGCAAAACGGAACCTTCGTTATCTAATGTATTTTTCTTTCGTTATGAATTCGAAATCCAGCCCATTATCGAATTGGAATTTTAATGTGAGAGAGTGATTTTCTTATATTTCCCTCCGAGAATGAGCTGGATTTCATTTTCTCTCTTGTTACTATGGTTTCCATTTTTTTCGAACTCATCTCGAGTGTATTTCCAATATACTATGAACATTGGAAAACTAAGGTGGTTTATGGGTTGGTTCTCAGTTCGATGTTCATATTGGATATCGAAGGTCATTTTCGAACGTTCGCCAAAATGTTTATTGGGTATGTATTTGTTTAGTTATTTCAATAAAAATTAGAATTAATTATTAGGGAACTTTTTATTTAACTAATGATGAGATATTTGATATCATATTAATGCCATCGTCTCGGTTTTCTTCAACCAAAACGAAAGTGAGAGTCAACAACGAAACTTCATCTTTTAAAGAAACTTCAATTGGAGTTATTATTGACAATTGCAGTGACTCAAAAAGTCTGTGGATTTTTTTATTATTCACAATGTTTTTCAATTAAAATTTTGTTTGCCATTTTTTATATAAGAATATTGTTTGTGCTTTAACCAAACACATACAAGTCAAGGCTTCAAGCTATTTACAACATTTAGAAAAACTCAAAAATATTTTCGTCTGAATTTTGAACTTTTTACTCTGAATATTTAGAACAATTTTGGAATTTTAGTATAACCAACAATGTGCAGCTAAAAAATTCCCGTTGATTAAAAAAAAATATATTTGTCACCGGTCTTTTTTTTCATTTAACAATTGCCATTAAAAAAAACTAGAGGGATTTGTTAATTTTTTTTGCGAACAATCGAACATTCTATTCTATCATTCTTGGTACGATGCCCTAGATCAGGCATGCCCAACGCCGACAGAACTCTATAAGCAAGTGTCCAGCGCCGGCAGAACTCTATAAGCAAATGCCCTGCGCTGGGCACGGCTGTCCAAGACAGAACAGATTGTCAAGAATGAACTGAAGCTGATTTCTTTCAGTGTTCATCTCTCCTCTATTACAATTTCTATCAGCTGTTATAGCAGGTACAAATATTAGGTTTGTTCGTCGAGCAAAAAATTTGTACGAATTTGTACGAATTATCACGATTTTTGCCCAAATCGCGTTCGTGCAGACCAAAAAATTATCCAACACTCAAAAATTGTGAGAGCAAAGTGACAGTTCTCGTGGAGAGAAGTTGCAAATTCTTGCTGGAAAAAATTTTGCCAGCAAGAATTTGCAAACACGAAAAACATGTGGTTGTGGCGCATGGTTGCATTTTTGTCTACAATAATTTGAAAATTAGTTCGTTAAATTTAAAAATTTATAAACACGAGGGATTTTTTTTATGAAAAAAGGAAGTAAATAATTGTTGATATAATTAATTTAGTTAATTCCAATGATTTGAACTTAATTCGGCTGAAAAAAATGGTATTCGCAATCGGAATGCAATTGCAACCAGAGTCGATTTAAGAAACCCGACAGCTAGTAAGATGAAGAAATTGAAATGTATGTTAAAGAAAGTCAGAACAACAAGAAATATACATGTATATCCTGTTTTTGGCCATCCGAAAGAATTTTAAAAATTCTATAAAAGTTTTTTATGTTTGAAATGCAACCGTGGACGCCAGCTGGCATCGAAACTTGCAAATTCCTGCAAATTTGCGTTCGTGCAGAAATTTGCAAGTTTCCCAACATGCGAGAGAATTTGAGAGAATTTTTTCTTACTCTCTGATATTTTGAGTGTTGGATAATTCTTGCTGGATTTTCGACGAACAAACCTATTTTAATTTCGTGGGGGAAAAAAATATTTTATTGCAAATTCTTCCAATATTAATAAGAAACCGTATATTAATTATAAGGAAATGCAGCTACTTCTACGTTCTAGTGTGCTTCAGCAATTCAAGCGCATCTGTGACCGCCGTTTTATAACACAAAGCGCGACCGGTATCCAGGTATTATTTAACTTGCTATACACGGGCTAATAATAACCATTCTTACATTGATAGGTTTCGGAGCTTACAAATGATATAAAACATGAAATCGAGTCTCATTGGCGCGCACAAGTATCACAAGGACAATTCGATCCAGAACGCGGCGAAAAATTTTATGTGCTTTCAATGTTTCCATACCCATCAGGTGCCTTGCATATGGGTCACGTAAGAGTTTATTCCATTAGCGACACTGTGTCACGCTTTCATCGAATGTGTGGTAAAAATGTTTTCCAGCCCATTGGCTGGGATGCTTTTGGTTTACCAGCTGAAAATGCTGCCATACAGCGTGGTGTGGAGCCAGCCAAATGGACGGAGGCTAATATTGGTCAAATGAAGCAGCAATTGCAAGCGCTAAGTTGTTCTTTTGACTGGAAACATGAAATGTCCACTTGCACGCCGGAATATTATAAATGGACGCAAAAACTGTTCTTGATGCTTTATAACAAGGGATTAGCATATCAAAATGAGGTTAAGTACTCTAACTTCAGCAAGCGTTCGCATAAAAGTGTATGATTTACTTGCCGATTCTAATGTCTTAAAACATTTCCTGCAGGCTTTGGTTAATTGGGATCCAGTCGATAACACTGTACTAGCTGATGAACAGGTGGACGCAAATGGTTGTTCATGGCGTTCAGGCGCAAAGGTCCAGAAAAAATTGCTCAATCAGTGGTTCATACGCACTACTGCCTATGCTAAAGCACTATTAGAAGGATTGGACGATCCAATACTTCAAGATTGGCGTGATATTATTAATTTGCAGCGTCATTGGATTGGCGAATGTGACGGATATGCATTTCAACTGCTTACGTCAGCCTCAAACTCGCTACGTATTTGGACCAATAATCCGGAACATCTAAAAGATCCAAATTCATTTCTAGTCATCAAACCAAATCATTATCTGTCAAAGTTACCCAATGCATCGCGCTTAACAGTCGAAAATCCTTTCGCTGGCACAGTTATACCAGTAATTTTTAGTGATAAAGCTAATTATGCCGATCATTGTGATGTCTATCTGGCGGCGCCAAGCTTTCGTGAGCAAGATAAAGAACTGCAAGAAACATTCGGCTTGGCATTTTTTGCGCACACAAATACCCCCAGCACTTTGGATGTAAAACGTACGCGAGAAGAAGTCGTGGAAGCGGCAACACGTCTTCAGATCGGAGGCTATCGTGTTTCATCAAAGCTGCAAGATTGGTTGATATCTCGGCAGCGTTACTGGGGAACGCCCATACCTATTATACACTGCAAAAAGTGTGGAGCTGTGCCTGTACCTGAGGACCAGCTGCCTGTGGTGCTTCCAGAGAAAAAATGTTTAGAGGAACAACGTGATGAGACTTTGCGTTGCACTTGTCCCACATGTGGTAGCACAAATGCGCAACGGGAAACTGACACAATGGACACATTTGTGGATAGTTCGTGGTACTATTTGCGTTTTTTGGATCCAAGCTTCAGCAAAGATATGGTAAATAAGGAACTTGTCAAAAAATGTATGCCCGTTGATTTGTACATTGGAGGCAAAGAGCATGCTGTACTGCATTTATATTATGCGCGTTTTGTAAATCATTTTTTGCACACATGTGGACTATCACCGACACCAGAACCGTTTTCAAGGTTGCTTGTGCAGGGCATGGTTATGGGGCGATCATTTCGAATAAAGGGTTCCGGACGTTACGTGAAAGAAGAGGAGGTTGGTATTTGTGCATTCAGTTAAAAAAAAAAAATAAATAAATTTTATATATCTGTATGTACTATGTAATTTAAAAGGTTGAAATTGTGAATGCCAAGAAGAACCAAGCGCGATTGAAGGACACCAAAGAACCGGTTGTAATGACTTGGGAGAAAATGTCAAAATCTAAATTGAATGGCGTTGACCCAACGGATATGTTTAAAGAATATGGCACTGATACCACCCGTCTTATATCACTGGCTGATGTGGCGCCGACTTCACACAGAAATTGGTCAAGCGCGAGTATGTGTATGCGGCCTATAAAGTTGTGGCAACTCTATTAGTCTCTTTTACCACTTCTCCCTTAGCGTTCCCTGGAATACTTAACTGGCAAAAGCGTCTTTGGTTAACTGTAAACGACTTTCATGCATCACGTACTACACCTGATGATAGCGAGAGTGAAAAAATTGATATTGAAAGCGAATCATTCAAGGCAGAAGATGCTAAAATGTTCGATGCACGCAATTTCTATGTAAAGGGTGCCACATTTAACTACCGCCATACGCACCAACTAAGTGTAGCTATCTCTAAAATGCAGGGTCTAACGAACTCTCTACGGGTAAATGTCATCTATGTATATTTGTTGGATATATAATTTAAAATTTGTATACATTTCTTTCCATATGTTTAACTAGCGTGCTCCGAAACATATTATACGCTATAGTCCACAATATGAACGGGCATTAGCTAGTCAAATCATTATGCTCGCACCGATGGCGCCACATTTTGCTTCAGAGTTATGGTCAAAATTTGTAGCTGTGCCGAACCGATTGAGTGCAACGACGCCAGAACTGCAGTGGGAGCGCGATGTGCTGGAGCAAAGCTGGCCCGATATTGACTCAGACTACAAATTAGATTTAACAATTAAGGTGAGGAACTACTTTAAAGGTGTATTTTAATTTCAATAATCTCATTTTACATTGCAATAGGTTAATGGATTTGAAAATTGTGCAATAAAGGTAGCGCGAAATAACTTGGATAGGATTACACACAACGATGCAATGGACATTGCGTTCAATACCGCATCTGTAACTTCATATTTGACGGATAAGAAGATACGAACAACGAATTTCGTACTTTATCCGGGAATTGAGGCTATACTAAATATTTATGTGGACAAAATTAAGCATACGTCTGCGCAGCCGACTAATTCAGATGAGGAGGTGTTTAACAAATAATTTTAATCTTTAACTTGTTGTAAGTAAGCTTAGTATATAGATATGTATGTAGGTGTTTATAGTTTCATGCGTAAGTGGTTATAAGTTTAGCAAATCGAAATATTATTTATTAATTGGTTGCTCTAAACTGAATGATCTTCATATCTGGACTAATGTCGGCGGCAGAATGTATGCATTACTATACATTATACATACATACTTAAGTAAAGTGGATTTCCATATTTTGTGCATATTGCATAGGCAATACAAATTTTGGCGTTGTTTTAAATAAATGCGCATTTGTTACTGCATTGAATTGTGTTTCAACACTACGAAGACCGAAATTTTGAATTACCTAGAAAGACAAAGAGCGATTAAATGACGTATTACAGGTTATAATATTTCATTTATGTTTTATGGTTTCATTTTTGTGTTTTATTCATTGTAATGTATAAAAGTAATAAAAAGTCGTTTCGTTCAACTACCCACACATATGTATATTCAGCGATATGCTAATATTGCTGTCAAATGACCGCCGCGATCTTTCCAATTAGGTAATAATTTTTCATAAACATATCCAGCTGCATATCAGTATAAATATATCAGAATAGAGTAAAAAAGTCGGATTCTTAGAAGTCATGAAACTCTTTGGAATTATGTTCCATCAAAAATGTGGTTGTGCGGGTTGTGCGGCCATTTGACCGCTTTGGTCTATCTCGTGTTAAAAATAGGATTGGGTCAGTTCGTAATTGATGGATATTGGATGGACGGTTAAATGCAGAATTTAAACTTAGTTGCGTAAATAAGGCATTTCTATGAACTATAGTAAATGAATAAAATTGTTTAATTCTTTGCAGTAATATCGAACGAACTGCACCCTTGGCAATAAGGTACTTAATTTAAATGTATAAAGTAAATTTTTAAGATTATTGGTTGTACTTTAATTTTAATCATATTTCTGTTTTTGATTTAATTCCGTTTTGTTTTTAATTAATTTTAATTTTGGTTATTCTCAATAGTTCATGTATTTACATATTTTTTAATTCAATTTATTTTAGTGTGCATTTCAATTCATTTAATTTCACTTAATTCCATAGTTTTTAATTTTATACCTGCCTGTTTTATCCATTTCATTCTGGACCAATGATTGATGATGAAGTTTGATTGAGTAAAAAAATAACTGCTGATTAGTATACGTTTCATGTTCGTTTATTTAATTTTAAAAATTGGGCTACAAATATTTATTGTTCTACATTATATATGTAACTTTAGTATATGTACATCCGCATATGTCTATATGTACGCCGTCTATTTTTGGCTTCTCTAAAGTGTATGTATGTATTCACTAAATCTATTGCACTATTGCATATCGTGGGCAACGATTACCTTGGCAAATGAACAACAAATACATACGTTGTCATCCACGTAGTAGAGACATCATTAACATCTGTCGGCCGTGACTAGCTAAGTATATACATACATATGTATGTATGTATGTACTCGCGCGTAATTGCCGCCCTTGGCCAACAAGCCACTTAACAGCTTCTTCATTCGCCACTCTCCACAAGTTGTAAAAGCTAGGCGCTTGTTTTTTCCATTGTCACTTCATAATTTCGTCCATTAAATTGCGTAAATATTCGTCGAGATGCGAGTAATCGAGCAACGCATTTCGCACAATATCCAGCAGCATACTTGGCCACAGTGATTCCAGCATATGCATTTTCTCCACAGCATTCACCGTGTTTTCGATCATGGTGGCAAAGTGTAAGCGTCCGCGTTCGCGCACACTAAGCGCATTGATGTTGGCGCTGCTGACGCTGGCATCGCTTACGGCATATGGCATTTGTTGTTGGTGATGTCCGCTAGCGCTATTGTTATTGGCATTGTTGCCGCTTATGTTGCTGTTGTTATTATTGTTGGTAGTTGTAGGCTTTTTCCACTGCAACGCCTCTTTGCCGACCACCAGGCGCAATGATTTGTTTTCCGGCTTCATTAGCCAATCTTTAGGCGACATTTTGCTGGCCGTACATGTTTCATCTAGCCGCAAACGAGCCAACAGCGGCTGCAACATCGTCGCCGGCATCGCCCACAACACCAAATCGGCGAGACCTTCGTACAATGCATTCGACGCCTCGATGTCCGCCTCCGTGACCGCAACACCATTGATCAGCTTAAGCCCCCAGTGCGACAGACGATAAATGGCATATTCGCGCCACAAATCCTTTGTGGTAATTGCATTTCCCTCTGGATCAATGGTAAGCGTACTGATGCCTTGCAGTTCGGCTAATGCATTCAACTGACCAATAATCTCGATGTTTGTTTCGCGAAATACGAAATTCTCGGCGTTTGGAAAGCGTGACTTGACGCGCGCCAACACTGTAGCGGCTATATTGTTAAAATTGATGTAGCTAAAATTCAGCGTATGCACATCCTGCGCCTTCGCTGCATTCCATTGCTTGTCGATGTAGCGCAGCGCGCCCTGCCCATACACGTTCAGGTAGCGACCACAAATCTCAATGAGATAGTCACCGCCCTGCTCGCGTTCTCGTTCACGTTCCCGCTCACGTTCGCGCGCCTCACGTTCCGCCTTGTTTGCCGCCGTTGCGCGTTGGCCACCCAACATGGAGTGGTGGCTGTTATTTGTAGTGTTGCCTGTGCTAAGTGGCGGCGGCGCCACTATGCATGTGACTGTCGGCTGAGTTGGCACTTGACCGTTACATGGCGTTGTTGTTGTTGCTGTTGTCGTTGCCGACGTGGCATTTGTGGTGACTTTGTTGATGTTGTTGTTGTTGGTGTTTGCTGTGCGTCTATTGGCGTACGCTTCATTTCCGTTATTAGCTGCGGCTGGTAAGCAGTTATTTATGCCACCACTGCTGGCGCCCACGACTGTCTGTGACCTCATTAGGCGGCGACATGTTGTACGCGTTGTTGCGCTGCCTGGCGCCGCTTGCCCCGTTGCCGTGCCGTTTGCATTGGCTGGTTGTGACGGCTGCACAGATGCGCTCGTGTGCTCTTTAAATCCCAGACTTAGTAAGCTGCCGTGGCCAGTAATTTGTGCTGTGGATGCGCTTGCAATTGTGGCTGTTGTTGCTGCTTTCTGTTGTGGCATCGCCATTGTTTTGCTGGCACTAGCAGTGCGGCGCGGCATTAGCATTGAGGAGTTATTGTTCACCTGACTGACTGACTGAGACTCGGCGGCGGCCTTCGCTGTAGCACTTTCTTCTGCAGCTGTACTTGATGGCTGTTTGTCTGTCGGAAAATTTACATTGTCGGAGTTCGTTGTTTTGGCATCATTTGATGTATGCATTGCGGTAACTCTATTCGCCTTCAATTCTGACCCAGTGGTCACTTTGCTGCCGGTTATATTAGATATTTGTTCGTCTCCTTCAGCGCCGCTATTTAGTTTGTTGGCAGGGGTGGCCTCACCGTCGATTGTTTTTGTCTTCTGTGCCGCGGCTTTTTTGCTTTTGCCCTTTACAGCAGCATTTTCACACGCAACTTCTTTTTCTGCATCACGTCGCTGCTGTTGGCCAGCTACCTTCTGGCATTTGTGTATGCGCGTGACGCGTTGTTGCGGGTCGGTGGAGTCCTCGTTGTCCGAACTGAAGCAGCTGGACGAGGAGTGAACATTCGGCCCCAAACTGGACCCGGAAGAACCGGAACAACGTGCGCTGTTGTTGTTGCTGCCTGTTGTTGTATTGTCAACATTGTTGTTGCTCTTGCTTTCGTCGCACTTGGCCATGCTGCTCACATTATGTGGTTGCTGTCTGATGAGTGTTGTTGTTGTTGGCTTCTCTTTGCCAACCGCATTAGGCGCAATTGATGCCGACTGTCCTGATTTCGGTGTCCCTGTCTGTGTGTGCTGTAACTCACTGCGCGGTTTGTGTTGGTGCTTTTGTTGCTGCTGCTCTATAGGCGGCAATTTAATAAATTCTTGCAATCCTGATTCAAATCCAGCCACAAGCAACGCACCCTCTGCCGATGCATCGCCCACTGCCTCATTGGATTCATTTATACGCGCCAGTTCGCTGGACTTCGCAATACGTGGCGCTGTTGTGTAAGTGGGGAGAAGTTGTGGTTGCTGTTGTGGTGTCTGTTTATGCGTTGCACCGTATTGCTGTATCGTTTGCTGTGACCTTAGCAACTCCCAATTCGTGCGCGCATTCGAGATAACTTCCTCTCGCTTGATACTCTGGTAGGCGTCGGGCGAAAGATGGGCATAATGCGTATCTGAAATCTCTTTATTTCTTCGCCAAGACATTGCAGCGTTGCGTACCTGCTCGGTGATGGGCATCTGACTGAGCGATTGCAGGCGAGGTAAGTAGCTGACCAAGAATGAGACACAATCGCCCGCCAGCGAAACGGGATTATTCTCAATGGTTACCTCCAACAACTGTGTTGCCTTGGCAATCGAAGCCATGTCGTCGACGCGATGCAGCTCGTTGTGACACAGCCAAAGACGTTCCAATGCTGTGAGATATTGAAATCCATTGATGCGCTTGATTTTATTACGCTTCAAATTTAATTCGCGCAATTGCCCCAGTCCACAAAAATCATTGTGACCTATTTGACGTAGCAAATTGCCAGCCAGATTGAGCGACTTAAGCTCCTGCAGACAATTCAGCTTACCGGCGATGCTGGTGATTTTATTGCCATGCAGATCGAGCACGCGTAGCGTTTGCTTCACAGAGCTAAGACCGCTGATATCGGTGAGACGGTTTTTGCCCAGCAACAGCACGGAGAGCGCGGGAAGGCCGTCCAAGTTGCCTATGCGTTCGATTTGATTGTCGTAGAGATCGAGAAAAACGAGATGTTGGAAAATTGCGCCATAAGATGCAGCTAGCTGTCTATTCTTGACGGTCAGCTGCTGTAGGGGATCGTCTTCGTCCAACTCACTACCCAC